TATATTGTGTGTGTGTGTAGTAGTATAATATATATTATATATATATATATATATATATATATATATATATATATATATTATATATATATATATATATATATATATTATATATATATATATATATATATATATATATATTGTATTATCGTAATATCTCCGTATGAATAATGGTTAAAGAACTTGCTTCTACGGGGATATCAAAAAACTGTAAACTATTAGCAACTAGTCCCCTTGTTCCCAGAATTCTATAGCGCTGCGACAGGTTTGTGTTGATATGCGATTGCCGTGCATCTGCTGAGGCCCTGAAGAATTTCATATATTGAGGTGTTTGAAGCAGTGCAATGATAAAGCAATCAGCACCAATTATGCCTTTCTTGTAGTATTTGACAGTTTACCTTATACTCGCTGTGATTATTGGCGTTAGTTAAGATCGATGCCATAGAAGGTTTACTATTCTACGATTGACCTCGCAGGTGTGTAGCAGCTCAAATACGTACGAAATGTATGTACGCAGGTGTACGTACTACCGATTTCCATAACAATTAGCCAACAATTGACTATGAGTGCCCCTTCATAGGCGTCTCTATATTTATTGACGAGGTTGTAGTATTCATTGTGTGTGTTCGTACGTTCAGCTACCAAGACAAGACCGTGGAAGAGTATGAGAACGAAGTCGAATACACTATGGATGAAGAGGACTGGGTATGGCTGGAACAGTGCGTCAATAGCACGCGCAAAAAGAAGGAAAAGGTATGATGGGCTGTCTGCAGATTGTTTGTATTCACAAGCAGATGCATGAGTGTAAGTAGATTTATGGGAAGGTAAAATTTGACTATAAGTCTCATTAAAAATGTTTTATGCGGATTCGTGTTTCGTACTTAGGATCGATTTTACTAATTCGTTTACAACGGCCCCATACAGTTACAGCCTAGTGATGTACGCTTGCGACATCTGAAAGTTAGCCTACACAATCCCATTCCCACACATAGTTGTGAGGTGGATACATATGAGTCATATTAGCCAAAGTATACATATGGTTTTGGTGCATCAGCTTAGCCAGCAATAAATCACCACACACTTCGTATAATCTATCTGATTCATTGCCCTATACATAAAGTAAATAGGTTCAAACATCAGAATGCGACAGATCATAAACCAGGCTTCGGTGTTACGTTCCGCTCGTTTTTTTTAAATATATGTGATAATCCCCTTGCACGCAGGTGTCTGATGTAATCTTCGAGGCGTGTATGGATCGTCTGGAGAAGTTCAGCTACCGCAACAACCACGAAGATGCACTGCACGTGGATGACGAAGCAGTGTGTGTTATCTGCCAAGACGGTGACACAGAGGCCGGCAACGCTATACTCTTCTGCGACTACTGTAACATACCTGTATGTAGCCCTGTATGGATGCGTGAACACCTTGACCACCAGAACACGCATGTATGAAGTTATTCAATGTACATGTGTGTATACACCCTTTTGGTATTTATTTAAGTTTGTCCGTGTGTAGATATATGAAGTCGCATTGCAGGTGTCGATCCGGTGTGTGCTGTCTGCCAACACCATGACACGGACACAGGTCACGCTATACTCTACTGTGGCTATTGGACTTACCTAAATGAACTCATGTCAGGATATGTAAGCCCCGGGAACACAGTCAAATCTGGAGCTTTTGTCTGGGCGAATGAACTTCCCTGTAAATGTATCTATATGACCTGTGTGTCTGTGTCCGTAAAGACACACTTTAAGGGGACGACAAAGCAGATTGCTGTATCAGCCAAGTGGATTTTAATTAATGTGTTCGAATCGTGTTTCTGAGTTCCTTCTCAGTTTTTTTTGCCGCCATGATGCCGTATTTACATATAGTGACAATTGTTTTTTAGGCTATCGACTCCAAATATCTGCTTGTATGTCTACGCCTACGAGACGATGAATACACACATACAAACCGATACTAAGGACTAGTGACAGCGGTGCATAAGGCACACTGTCAGACGATTTCACATCTTCACAAAGCACATGATATTATCATCATGCATGCCCACGCGCACGCTCCAGGTGTATCAGGACTGGTACTGATCTGCGTTGTGCCACCAATTCTCCACACACACTATACTTGCATATTGTACGTGTTCATTGGCTGCTATACACACACACACACACTACATGTACATCACTTTTACTATGCGATTGAACTTGTTCCTGCGGGTGCACAACTAATACACCCGACAAAATTCTCCCGTGTGGTACCCAGGCAGGTGCGCTCGAATTACCTACCCCTCTCATCCAAAAGATACATTATGCATGCATATGACTTACTCCCTTACTAATCTTACGTAAGTGTATACATACATTATTAGAATATATATCTATATATATATATATATATATATATATTATATATATATGTGTGTGTGTGTGCGTGTGTGTGTGTCGTGTGTG